GTATTTGCTTTTTTATTCTACTTACTATGAAGAAGTTTCTGTTTATTGGTTTGTTTGTTTGTTGTTTTTTCAGGGGTTAAATAAATGTTGATCAAAAGAGACACTTACCTGGTTTTGCATATAACTTATAACTTCATAGTAAGAGGTTGGATTTAAATTTGTTGCTGATTTCACTATGTAATAAATTCTTCAAATTCTTTCAATATTTTTTTTTCATATTATATTTTCACTAGTGTTTACATTGTGTATCTGTATGTGTGTATTTGTGGCGCATGCTGTGTACAATAGTCAAATATTACACGGAACCTTTATCCCGCTAACCCGAGTTGCACCCAGAGGAGTGTTTCGTTGACGGACTGTCAGATGACATAATGGTAAACACAGTAAGGTGAGTCAAGAATTATGTGATATAGCTTGTGCAGGGCACCAGTTCCACCATCTGAAAACACCAGTAAAGCACTAGCGTCATGCGATGGTGCACATTTGAAAAAGTGAGCCGTTTTATCTCGTTTTTAAATGACATTGATCAAGGATGGAGAAAGGCTAGCGTTAGCTGGGAGCTAACTAGCCCCGGCTCACATCACTTTAGCTGGGGATGAGCACGGGCCTTTTTCAGTCAGCTTTAGGAGTGTTCCATCGACTTTCTGCATACATTTATTTCGAAAGAATTTAGACGATGAACTAGACGCGTTAGGGGAGCTGACATGGGCAGCAAATTCATGTAAGTGTCGGAATGTCTAACTGTGGCTTCACCTTTGTCAGTGTTTCCAGCTGAGTGATGCTGACTGTGTGTTTGTGAACTGAAGTGCACAGGGCTGAGGCTGATAGTTTTTCATCTGTACCTGCTATCCCAGTTAAATGTCAGCATAATTATTGTCGAAAGCTGCTTAAAACGAGGAGCTGATATCCTTATAGATGTGATGCGTTCAAGCATCTATGAAATGCTTTGCGTTTTTTTAAATTAAAAAGTTAAAGTTGCTGGTGTGTTCAAGTCCGTTGGTCTAACTTATGGATATGGGAGTTCTATATAAAATTATTTAGAACTCGTATATGAAATCTTGAGAGGAAGGATTGACACTCAGCAATAAAGCAGTCATTCACACAGTACTTATGTTTTTTGTGTAATTGGATTCCTAGGTTGGTTCTACAGTTGTGAATGTTTAAATCTGCAGCCTCAATCGAAATAAAAGCTCAGTATAACATTAAAGATGTTGTGACAAAAGTGAGCCCAGTGGAACCTGATGTGCACCTCATCTCTGGCAGATGTAACCGCTTGCCAGTTTAAAAAAGTACGATTTTCATTTTTGTTTCTGTGCAAACGGCTTTGCACACTCATGGCTGTTTCTCCGTCAGGTTCATGATGTTTTTATCTGGAAACAATCCAACTGTCTTAAAGGAGGTGCCACAGAGAGTGGTTTTTCCACACTCTGCAGTGTAACATATCCCAAACCGGGTTGAGGTCAGATGGGTTGAGGTCAGGTGATTGTTGATGTGAGGCCATGTGCTGCAGCACTCCATCAGTTTGCATTTCGGTGAGACAACTCTTACAGAGCCTGGAGGTGTGTTTTTAGATTTTTATCCTCCCATAAAGCAGATGGTGTTCCCCCAACTGAACTCGAACCTGAAGGGATGTTGGGTCACTGAAGAATTATGTTACTCTGCTAGTTAGAATTCATCATACATCTCCAACAGTGTCACTACCAAAGTCCGTCCACCATTAAAGAAAGGTTGGTTTTTACTTTTTGCTTTCTTGGCATTGTACTGAGCTGATTGTAGGGCTATGTCAGCATGTGTGAGTCAACAGGAGTTCAGTGGGAAGCTCGATGAGTAATCAACCTTGATGATGATGCAGTATTAGCTCACAGCTATATCTGCAAGCAGATGATGTCGTGGTAAATATGTTCATAAGAGATGATACATAGTGTTGCCATTTAAATGGATTACAAGGTGGTTAGTGCTCGCTAGATGTACACAGCAGTGAATTCTTGGTGCAATCCAACTTCGATCATTAAATTCTATCTATCCATTTTTTGTTGTTGTTGTTGTTTTTTTATAGCTTTTTTTCTTTCGAAAACACAACCTAAACAGCTTGTCATAGCATTTGCTATGGGTAGTTCTTTATTTACTGTGCTTGGGTTTGCTTGAATCAACTGGGTGTTGTGTTTGTGGTGTTTCAAACGTTGCAGAGAGCCCTCTGATGGACAAAATAGGCAAAGCCAACACTTGTAGGATGGAGGAAGGATGTTTCTCCCATTTCTTTTTAAATTGTTACTTATTTGCAGTTATAAATGCCAACACTGATAAATCAGCAAATAGCTAATATTGCCCCACCAATAAATCAGTGAGACTCATTTTTCGAGCTTCTCTGATTAGATTTTTGACCACCTTTTTCTTCCAGTGAAATTGTTCACTGAAAGTTGGTTAACTGTGTTCACTTTGCCACCCATAGTCTTAAATGTGTTGGAGAATTGGTTTAGAGCGACTACACGTTTTATTATAAATATGAATGTTTGATCCTAGTGTGTTTATCACTGCATCGCAAGGGATATTAATATATGGTGATTTTGACATTACCTCACCTAAAGGCAAAATGTCATCAACTTATTAATGTAGTTTTTTCTTTCATTTTCTCTTTCTTGTGAGAAAACTTTTAAGTCAGATAGTTAATAATAATTTTTAAAAGAAATCAAGAAAATCCAGGGCTCAGTCATTTCTGTGCAATGTAGTGTTTACCAGCAGCAAATATTCTAGGACTTTGTGACAGTCGACTGTATAGTCTCGCTTACATGTGCTACATATAATAAATCTTACGTAAAAATGCAAAGCTAAGAAAATCCCTGACATTTTCCCTCCCATGATAATGTTCTGGGGTTTTTTTTATTTTCAACAAATTATCACCGGCAAATTGCTCCATGAAAATGAGTTTCAATGATGCAATGGCCATTAAATAATTCATAAGTGGACAAAAGTAAAAGAGGCTGAGCTGTGGAGGAGGGGAAAATCAATGAGAGTGAGAGAGCACAAACGAGAAAGAAAGAAGTGTGTATATATGGAGAGAGAGGGAGCGAGAGACAGAGGAGTGGAGACAATCAGAAGAGACAGGCAGTCAAGCAGATGGATGGGAACCCCACCCAGGCCTGTTTCCTCTCTGTCCGCTCAGTCCAGAGATAATGTGCTGAGGAGGAAGTCAAGTATTATTCCAGTACGAGGAATGATGATTGTTTCTGTTTACTGAGATGGAATCTGAAGTTGGGTTTTCTTTGGTCTAAGTGTGATGAAGATCCTGTAGGCGGGTAGGTGGTTTGACTTTAACTAGATGCTTATTACCCTCTTTCCTAATTTTAGTCTTGACAGAGACTCTATTTAAATTTCACAAAAGCACCTGGAATGAGCAGCAAGTTTTCTTACTGTCAGCTGTCTTTCCAGTCTTTGTGCTTATTTTGCATGCTTCCTCTTTTACAAGTTCCTCTTTCTTTCTTCCCTTCTGTTACAGTCAAGCCACAAACACCATCCAGCTGATGCCCCAGCCGTCACCCGATTGGCCAGAAGAGTGTAAATCAGCTGATGTATGATTTTGACTCTAGTCCCTCAGCAATTGAGACAAAGGAGAAGGACTTTGCTGCTTTTTGCTCCCAAATGTGAGTGTGTCTGGCTGCGTAAGGTAGTTTGCCACCCAGATTGGATTGGAAAGTCCCAGCTCCTGCCAGTCCTGGCATGAAACCGCAGTAGCTCCCCGGAGAATATACTGACTCACTTAGCAGAGCTAGTGGAGCATCATTAAAAAATAGAAGACTGTAGCCCTGGATGAGGGTACTGTCTTCATGCAGAGGGCAGATCGCAGCTTAAGGCAGCAGTTTTTGAAGTTTGTGAACTGCTTGGGTTTTGTTTTGTTACTAGCTTGTCAGCGTACCTGACACACCTGCGTTTGTCCAACTGTCAGCTGATTTTTGTTTATTGGCCATGCAGATTCTGCTAACAGGGATTTTAAACCCTTTTTGGATAGCTGTCTAGTTGTAAGATTTCCAGCTCAGGGAAAGCCTGTCCTGGTACAGCCATGGAGGGTCTTGAGCAGCTGGACATGGTGGGTGATATCAGCCCAGCTTTGGAGGCCACAGAGGATTTCATCCACTGCATGGATAGGATACAAGGCCAAGGTACAAGCCAGGCTCAAACAGGGAACCTTCAGCCTGCCAGGCAGTCGAAGCAGCTGCAGGAGGTATCTAATGCAGCGCTGGGCAAGCTGAGCTCCAGTGGCGTGTGGAACCTGCTAGCTGGAGAGCAGCCGGAGGTGGGGCCTCTAGGCCTAGCTTGGGCCGATAACGTCAGTGTTTTGGGGCTAGGAGTGGGTTTGAGGCACGGCAAGAGAAGCCGAGCGCGTTCCACCAATGACTTGGCTGCCCATACCAACGAGTGCACCAACAACACCACCAACTCCTCATCTAACTCTGCGTTTAAGAAGGGACACAGCCGGTCCAGGTCAGATGTCCACTACCGTCCGTCTGCCTGCACCGACAATGGTCTGCCCACAGTGGACTGCAACACCCTGAAGAACATGATCCTCAACCACCAGCAGGAGGGTGAGTTCATGTTCACACTGTGGATAATATAATATATACGCTAATGTGAACAGCTTAGTCCAGCTCCATGGCAGAGCTGAAAAGGTGAGTCACTGATCATAAGTTAATATACAGTTAATTGACAGAATGGATTTTGTACAGCAGTTAAAAAAAATATTTGCTACATATTACATAAAATAATAATAATGGATTTTATATAGCGCTTTACAATTCTACTATTCATTCACTCTCACATTCACACACTGGTGGAGGCAGCTACAGTTGTAGCCACAGCTGCCCTGGGGCAGACTGACAGAAGCGAGGCTGCCATGACGCGCCAGACACCCAGCCAGAGGGGCCGATGGCTGGGTGTCTGGTGCGTCATGGCAACCTCGCTTGTGTCTTGCCCAAGGACACAATGACCAGGATAGAGAGCCCGGGGATCGAACCGGCAACCTTCCCAACCCCCTGAGCCACGGTCGCTCACCTGTCAGTGGAGCCAGAATCCAGGAAAAGGTCACCAACATGTAGCCACACATCTGAAAGCCTATTGATTTGCTCTCCTGATATTTAGATTGTAGTATTGATATTTTAACCTTTTTTAACCCTGATATTTTTGTTAATATTTGCAAAAATATTTGCAAAGTTTACTTGTTAATATTATAACAAGTAAACTTTTTAAATGTGTCTTTCATGTGCAAATGAAGTTTATTTATAATCTGGTACATGTTGATATGCATGATCTGATATCATGATTGTTCAGGGGTTGGTGCTTTCTTTAACTATGTGGTGGATTAGTGGAAAAGTTACAGGTGAACCCAAACTTTAAACTGTAGTTCTACAGTTCAGTGTGACGTACTTGTACATGAAAAGTGTTGGAGCCAACAGGTATATGCTTTCCTATTAAATCACCAGTAGTTTTTACATCACCAACCAATGTAAGATTTATGCCACAGCTGACCTAAAATAACTCAAATATAATATAAAATATAATTAGTGTTATCCATCCATGAATTTTTAAACGTACTGTTTAAAAAAAAAATTAGAAAAAAGATGTAAAATACATTTTTATTTTTGGATTAAGATGCCAAATTACAGTTATTTAATAGCATTCCTAAACAGAAATTCCACTGTGATGGTTCAATAATTTTTAGTTTTAAACAACTTTTTTTGACAGATTTCTAAATACATGTTTTGTTGTTTTTATGAAACCTAATAAATTTGATACGCAAAGTTATTTATTTAGCTTCATGTGTTACCAAGGTCACAGGTTTTCAAAAGCATTTTTCCTATGGTGGATATAACTTAACCATGTCTTTAGAATCAAGAATACGTTTTGACACAGACTTGAGACTTGAGACTGTATTCATCAAGAGTAAACTTGGACACAAGTTGGAAGAGCATTAGGAGTTGTGCAGAATAACAAGGACATTCTTTCTGGAAAGATTTCTAAATGTACATTTTACTGATTTTCAGCAGCATAAATAAATAGATCCGCCTTTACTGTGTTGAGGAGATCATCTGAAAAGTCATACCATCACTTACATCCAGAAATTAACTTCATGCTATTGAGTCAAGCTGACGTAAGTGAGGAGATGTGTAGCTGTAAGTGAAAACGTTACTTGCCTAATACAGTGTTGACCCTTTGCATGCCTCGCCCTGCTGAGGAGTAGCTTCTAAACCACCTCGTGTCAGAGAGGTTAGCAGAAATGATAAAGTTGTGAGTTGAAACTGTCGCAGGTACCTGAAAACCCATCTTTCGTTATTTATCTGTGCTCGTGCCACTCGCCATGAAACTCTAGCTGTCAGATTCTCTGACCCAGACGTCTGCCCATAATTGTTACGAGGTAATCAATATTATTCACTTCAGTCAGTGTTTACACCGTTTTTCTCATCTGTATATGTTTTCTAATTTGAGTTAACTGACCCTTTAATCAGATTGAATTTGCCTAATTGGGCGTTTGTGGCATGGAGAGTTGCTTTGACTCATTGAAGATGATGTCATGGCCTCTGGTGACCAACTCATTGAACCTGCCAGAAATATGCACACCTCCTCCTCCTCTGCTCCTATCGACCGTCCATTCACTGAAAAGCTTTCTCAGCCTTTGAGAGGCTTTCGGAGGACAGAAGTCCTGCACTATTTGTGCTGCGGATCGGGGCGTGTGCTGTACTTAGGCTGAAGCATCCTCAGAGAAAGCAATAATGACAGAAGATGATGATAACTTGAAATGACACAGCTGTGCTATGACAGTCCTTACTCAGGCAGAGAGCCCAACACACACACACGCACAGCATTTGTTTGTGTGTTTTGGCTATCTAAAGGACTAAGGAGATCCTAAGGGATCCTGAGGGATAATAGCCTGTAATCCTGTCAGCAAATGGACTCAAATGAGGCAAGAGAAGAGGCAACCCAATTACCCAGCCCCTGATACTGGCAGGATTATTTAGTATTAGCATATGTGTGAAAAGACATCAGGCTATTTAGTTTGGCTCGATGTGTATTGAAAAGAGAGGAGGAGGAAAAGGACGGTAATAAGCACAAGGCACAGTGATTTAGCTCGCCTTGCTATGTGTCTTCATTCACATTAAAAAAGAAAAGTAGCCTGTTGGCTTTTCCATTAGTGACAGCTGGGGATGTTTAGGTGCTAAATGGATATGATTATCGCCTTTTTATGTACACAATATACATGCATATGTAACCACATAGGCTTTTCTAGTTAAACACAATAGAACTTAAATAGAAGCAAAGCTGCATTGATTAAAAAAACAAAACAAACATTGGCAATAGGTGAATTTTTTATGCTGTATGCTTTTTAAAATGATAAACACATTCATACTAAGTCACCAATATTTAACAGGAAATGCAGCAGTAATAGTAAAAAAAACAACCACGCAAAAGAGCTATAAAAATGGGTAAGACCTTGAGTTACCCCGGCCTGTACACCTAACATGTCAGCGGTACTTAAGGTTGCTTACGGTGCAGCACGCCTAGGCCGCTGGGAGTGTTTCTTCTTCACTCACCTCTTTTCACTAACTCTGTGTTAATATGTTGCTCTGCATTTAATCATTAGTTATTATTCATCCCTGGCTCTCTTGCACAGCATGTCTTTGTCCTGACTTTCTCCCCTCTTCCTATTAAAAGGGAGTTTTTTCTCATATGGGGTCATCAAATTGTTGGGGTTTTCTCTCTAACAGGCTCTTAAACTTAGACTATAAGATACATATGTGAGGTGACTGTTGTTGTGATTTGGTGCTAAATAAATAAAACTGAACTTTCCCTGTTTATGGCAGCTTACTATGAGTGCACTTCTATATACACACACAAACAGTGGAGCTGACAGGACACAAGCACTGAAACAACAGAGACTGTATTGTCTTAGGAGCCCCTTTTGGTTGTGTTAGTTTCTTTGGAAACGGGTCAACAACTGTTGAAAAAATTCAAAGAGAATCTATCGGTGTAAAATGCATAAAATACCGTCAAGATGCTGAATATTTGCTATCGGATTCCTCCATGCTATGTTGACTCTCCCCCCTAGCAGCCTGTGCAGTGCTTCTGACGTGTGGCATTGTAAAAACAGATCAACATAGAACTGAGTTAAATAGACTGGCTGATTGTTGCTGATACCTGATCCAGCTTTTAGAGTCAACCCTGGACTGTTGTCCGTTATCTGTTATTATGGATTGGTGCATCTCTAGTGGTAACTCATTGGCACAAACAAATGAGTCGCACTCAAATGTGTCACTGCAGAGTTTGCAGCAGACCTCATTTTTGTTTGTTTTTTAATTCTTTCTACTTTAAGGACTATTAAGAGTACTGAGAAATTATGACAATCCCTTCAGATTACAAGATTGGTCATTTGAGCCACAGCCTTTGGATTCCTACTTGTGTTTACTTTTAGTTGGGCCTTCTGCTGACTGTGTACATTCAAGCTTTCTGTGTTTCAGTTCCTGTTATAAATGTCAATTAGTTTTGACACACGAGTGAAATTCTGCCCTTTCTCAATCTAGGGAGTTTGAACTTGGACGTCCAGGAAAAGCGTTAAATCCAGGTTAAAGAAAGAGGCTAACGATAGCTGAAGTGCTCTCCAGGCTAGTACTGGCTCAATGAGGATAAGCTCTATGATCTAGAAAATAGGTTAAGGGTATACCTTTGTACATTTGTAGGATAGGTCTTCACTTATAGCCGGAAACTTGGAAACAGCACGTAGTTTTAAGCAGGAGTTTGTACCTCGATGAACATAAAGGCAGAAGTGTTACTTAACAACAGAGTGAAATGTTAATTATGGTTGAAGGCTTGAATGTGTATGCTAGACTATTATTGTGTGTGATGTCAAAACCCACCAGGTAGAGATGAAGGCTAATTGAACAGAGCAGCTTTCCTCACCACAATGCCTAATTCTCATCTCGAGCCTCCCAAGCGTGAAGACTGCCAATCAGCCAGACCTGATTTCATTTGCATATTCATTTGTTCCCTTAGCAAAAAAGGTTTGTTAACATGCAAAGTCAGAGACCTAGAGTGACACTGTCAGCTGCTGTTTTGATAAGATTGATGAGGCACTGGACTTGCCACCCTTAAGCTAACAGGGGCTCTAAGAGAATTAGCTTTTTTCAACCAAAATGCAGTATGCACCAATTAGACTGCTTGTGGCGGGGGTTAGCAATTAAATCAATTTGTCAGATTGATTTAGAAAACTTGTCTTTCACACTTTACCGAGTTAAAGTGTGTCAGGTCAAAAAGCATGAGTACATCAATGTTTAAATTGAGTTTTCAGCATGTTCCACTTGGAAAATAGTCAGTTTTAACGTGTGTAAGTAACCATTGTTGCAGGAGTGTAATTAATTTTGATGTGAAGCAGGTACCGACCACATCTTAATGGATAAGGACAAGAAGTACTTTCTATGCAAATGTAACCAAGGTAAATGGACTGGTTTTCATATCGCACTTTTGTATTCCACTTGAGCACTCAAAACACTTTATACAACATGACTTATTCACACAAGCACGTTTTCTACATTTATACTGCAATGAAC